CTATGCCGCTTCGCTCTGTCGCCAGCTCGTATCTTTTATCGTTGCCACGGAAACAAATAATAAGTTTTGACCATTTTGGACGTTTTCTCGACAGTACTTGTGAATTATAACTTTGTTTACAAAGCTTGACCACCCGACGTTGCTTTGTCTCGCTCTTATCGAAAATTGACGAGTATTTCATTAAATTTTGCCCTTTTGAAAGCAAGAAGTCAATGTTATTACCGCTATCTTTATTTGTCTTCGCTAGAAATAATAAATAATTGTGAAGCGAAGCAAACAACAGCTATAAAATATTTAAAAGCGAGTAAATAAAACGACAATGTTAAAATATACTTGCCGAAACCTATTTATAGTACCGGAGCGTACCGGATTGCCTGATTACACTTGCTTTTATCCGGTACAGCACGTACCGGATTACTTTTCATATCACCTCCAAAGCGAAGTGATTTTCGCGCCGCGGCACGTACCGGATTACAGTGGCGTAGTGTAAACAAGAGGCCAATCCGGTACAGAAATCGCGTCGCTTCGATGCAATCCGGAATAGTGTAATCGGGGCCTTCGTTGAACCCTTAGTATATACCTCAAAGGCAAAGCACAACCGCTTCTGTCACAAGGTGGTTTAAAAGGTTTTAAAACTGTTTATTCTACCGATGAATAACGTTTTTTATTGACTGGCATTTCTAATAAAAATCCAACTGGGACTGGGATTTTGCCAAAATTTCAGGTGGGAAATGGGATTGGACCCCCCCCTTCAGGACCCTCGATATAAGCTTAGAGTTCACTCTGATTTTAAAGACCATAACCATTCTTTGATTATGTCACGCACTTTATTACTCAGAGCTTTATCTTCAGATCGCTTCGTAGGTTTGCGTACTAGTTCCACCTTTTGAATCTCCAGCTGCCAGCGTGGAAGACAAGGGTCTTCCCTTTTAATACAGATATTATGTAATGTGATACATGCCATGATTATTGCGGTTACATTCCTTCTGCGACATTCAGTTTTCTTATATATAATACGCCATCTTCCTTTTAACATGCCATAGGCATGCTCTGAAACTACTCTTGCAGCTCTTAAATGTTTGTTAAAATTTCGTTCTTTTCGTTTTTTTGTGGTATCATCAAAAGCTTTCATCAACCATGAGCGTGCTGGAAAAGCACTGTCTCCTACCGTTCAAAGTGGAATATTTCCGCAACCTGGTAAATTCATCTCACAATTAGGTAGTACATGCTCAGATTCAATTTCGTTGAAAATCGGAGAAGATTTCAAAAGCGTAGAGTCATGGATAGGACCTGGGGCTCCCACACCTGCCCAAAGAAACCTTTTGTTAGATGCAATCAATCCCATATTTGTTACTGAGTATCGTTTCTTGAAACTATAGAAATTCTTAAGATTGCTGCAAATGTACACATGAAATCCGTCCCAAGCAGCCACGCAGGGAAAACCCCAATCCTTGAGAAAGGCCTTCAACTCATTTTTCCATTCTTCCTCAGTTGATGGTAGGGTCCCGTATTCATCAAAAAAATCAGAACTACACGCTGTTGAGTTAGCAATCCCAAACAAATCACCAACTGTTGAGAATGAACAACCATGGGCTAATCGATAAAGTGTGAGTGCTAGTTGAATTTCTGGAGCAACTGGCACCTTAAACCGGGTCGTCTCCCTTTTAATAGACTCTTGCAATTCTTGTAGTAAACAGTTGAACGTGTTTCGATTAACCCTACATCTTTTTTTGAACTGCTTATCCGTCCAGTTTTCACAACCATTTCTCCACCAGTGAGAAGACCTTTGCTCACTCGGTCCTTTAGGTCTTCGTTCTTTTGTGCAACCACAAATAAATGCACCTAGTATATTACCAAATCCATTTTCATCTTCCATCGTTAGAAGTCTATGGGCTTTTGACTGTTGTCCGAAACATTGTAAATCGTTTTGGGCCTTTCTTTTTCTGCCTAAGATAATATTTTGAAGGAAGGCCGCCATTTTAATTTGCTTTGTAACCTGCCCTTATCCGCCCGGCCAATTATCCGTCTAAATTTATCCGTCCCTAAATTCATATTCAGACGGGTTTTCACAGACGAGTTTCCCGTCTAAGACGAGTTTGCCGTCCCTAATATGAATTCGGCTAATGACTCATCCATTATGGCATAAAATCATACTCTCAATACACAGGGGGCAGAGGAGCGATCGTGTTTTGTTTTACTTTGAATAAACAATCGAATGACTTACCTTGTTATCTAAATATCATCTTTTGCAATTAATTGAATTCATTCATCAATTAATTCCACTTAATTCAAGATATAAAAACATCACACATGTATAATTTATATATTTTCATATTCGAAAAGATTTGTTTTAGAACTCGTGTATAACGGCAACCCACTACACTGCAGGCTTGCATTGCCCGAATCGCAAACGAAGTTTGCTTCGCGAAACGATGTGCACCCGAGGGATGGACGAAAGAAAATTGAGAAAGGGAAGAAACTTCCAATATTGCATCGTTACATGTGCACTGCAACAACTAGTGACGGAAGTGACATACAGGAAGTGATTCCACTTAAATTCCGTTGCTAATTATATTCTGTTTTTTAAAAATAAGAACAACGGGTGTAGAGGGAAATTTAAATATTTATATTGTAGAATGGACAGATATATTCTTAAACGACACGCGTCCCATATAGAAATAAAAAATAAATCTAATAAAAAACCGAAGTTGTACAACAGCGAAAAACATGTTATTGTTTCAAATTGGTAAGACGTTTGAAAATAACTGAACACTATAATATTAATTTAAACCCGTATAAAAAAGTATTTTTTGCTTAGTCTAAATATATACTACAGGGGTCTTCACCCCTTTTTTTCGGCGACCCAAACCCAAGCTTCATAGGTGTCCCGCGACCCTGAACACTGCCAATAAAACTTTCGATAATTAAAAACATTATGGCTTTTCACCGAAAGCTTCCGAGTGTATGACGACGACTCTACTTCGGAAGACGACGTGCGCCGAAGGCGCGCCGAGTGGTGCTAAGCCATAATGTGTTTGAGTTACATGAAGTAAAATGTATTATATCTAAAGCTTTACCAGTTTACCTGTTTACCATATTATTCTAGCAATCTAGCGCTTGAGTGCTTCATAATAATCGTGAAAAAACATTATAATCGCAAATTTCCCAAGGAAATATTCATATGTAAATATGTGCATCTTATCACTTGATCTCTCGTCTTGTAAAGTATACTAGTGTAAGTTCGCGACCCTAGACAAGCATTGCGACCCAAGACAAGCGTTGCCACCTTCGAGGGTGTGCTAGCGATCCAATTTTGGGTCGCGACCCATGGTTTGAAGACCCCTGATATACTAGCTAAATATATACTACTAATTTGATATACCTTAATATAGTATGTTTCTCAGATATAATAACATTTCATACCTAGCTTCGCTACTTTAAATAAGAAAAAAATATACTGTATTTGCATGCTTCGAATAAATTACCGAACAGACGCAGACAGTACTCAATAATTTGTGACACTTTAAAATATTCTTCAAGAATACAATAACAATTGCTCTGAAAAAGAAAACTGCGACCTGCATGTAGTTGAATTAGGTTTTCCCAAATTTGAATAAATTCCAAAAAAGAATAAACGGAACGAGAACGTGGGTATACTCGCTTGTTAAAAACAAATGGAGTGATGATTCTATTCAATGGGAAAACCTACCGGATTTTTTGTAAAACCGCGTAAAACCACTTCCTGTCATGCGCAGTTCAACTCTTTCGTCACTTCCGTCACTAGTTGTTGCGGTGCACATCATACGAAAATAGCAAAATATATACCAGCATTTTATTCGTTATATTCGTAGGTTTAACTACTATTTTCCCAGATTTCTTTCGTTAAATATTGAGACTATATCCTTTCTGTGTCGTGTGCATAATATGGTGTGTTTCTGTAGAATTTTAAGCGAATTATGATGTTTCGAAAATGATGCATGTCCGAATTCTAAATTTGGAAGTTTCGTCCCTTTCATTATATTTAGCTTGTAAACAATCTAGCGTGAGAGTGCGCGCCCGCAGTAATTTGGCGTGCGGTCAACGTGCAAGTTATATTACTTCATTTAACTTCAATCAATATAATATATTGGTTTTTAATGATATTTTTGCCTTTTTTGTGCTGCGTAAATGGCATTTGCAGCATTCTGAGACACGCATAATCAGAAAACCCAGAATTCCGGGCGCCAGAGTATGCCTGTTCGCAGGTAGTGCTGTGAATAATATAGTTAATAACAAAAATCATGACCAAAGACACCACATACGGATCAAAATTGTATTTTAAAATACTTAAAACGTGGAAAAATTGGGAATCGACTCGCATTACCTCAACCCCAATCCCATTTTTGAGGACTTCATTTCCCATTCCCAGTGGCAAAATCGCAGTCCCAGCAAATTCAGCAACCTAAATCCCATTTTCCCAGTCTAAAAATAGATCAATCCCAGTTCCCATTTTACCCCTTCAGGGCCCTCTATAAAGAACATCGATCACAGTAAAGTCAATGACAATGACAATGTCACAATTCAAGCTGTTTATCAAATTTATATTTATTATGCGGTGTCTATTGACTATTGTCTATAATATCAGAGAAACAGACTGAGTTATGTAACGAAAAATTAGTACGTAGATACTGTACTTGCATGTTAATATTCCTTCGAGTAGCCGGCTGTTGTGGTATTATCTCACCGTGGATTTGATAACAGAGAGGTATTCGAGAGGCATATATATACTTCGACATATTTCTTGACTCGTTGAATTTCAGTGAAGCCAGTGCAGAAAATTACACGCCACGATCTTTAATATTGTTACAAAGTTTACAATTGGCGATTTCGGAAATCATAAGATCCCTCTAGTCGTTATGTTAAATAAATCCTTTGGGTCGAGTATCAGGATAGATTGGTAAGTCTAGAAATATATTATTTTCATATCTTGTATGTTTTATACCGCGACGTAATACTTCAACAAAGCGGTCGACATCATATTGGATGGCACAATACAGGATTTACTGTATATACCTTTTAGGAGTTTCTTTCACGTTACTAGTAGCGCTCGATATTACAATATATTTTTAGTAACGATAAAAGTGTGCTAATATAGGCGGCCAGGGGCGGATCTAGGATTTTTCGCACGTTAGTCAAAAATCTATGACGTCATCGATGACGCAAAACGTGATGACGTCATTTGCCATGACGTCATTCAATGTCACGATGATAGTCCAACTTTCGTGGGAGTATAGATATTTTATTTTATCAAACTACAAATGCGCAAATGACATAGTTTTCGTACCTGCCAATGTTCAGCATATATATGATAAAGTATTATATAGACTGTTTTGCCCTACAGTGTATACCTTGGTTCATCAGCATGCCTAGGAAACACATTAACCAAAAATAGTAAACCATGATCCAACAAGGACAGCTCCTTGAAAAAGCTGAACACAAGCACATGTTTCTGGCACCTTAAAAGTAGATTGCTTGCCTTCACACCTTTTCAAGAGCAAAAGGAGTTTGGTTAGAACTTAGAAATGGGTGACAATGAAAACCACCTAAAATGAGCAATCTGGTTTTAAGGTGCCATAAACCCACCTCACACCTTTCACCATTGCAAAAGGAGCTTGGTTAAAAATGGGTGACAACATGTGAAATTGCCCAGTTTTTCCCTTTAGCCCCTTCCCCATTCCCCCTATTACTAACCTATGTCTAATCTAATTAAATTCATCATCTTGTTAATATATACTGTCCACTATGAAAATGTATAACATCACAAGTGAAATTGTGCCTCAAAGCTGCAGCTTCATTGGAAGCCAACTTTTATTGAAAACAAGTTTATTTTACCTGGCATTTTAATTAAACATATTTTAATCACAGTAGATTCAAATACAAAAGATTCATTACAAATGACTATTACTTTACTTATCTAGTTATCTGAAATAATTGGCAAGGTTTTTAACACAGTATTCTATTATTCTTACACTATGCTTACATACTGTATATAGACACATACTATCAACATGGTGTTTGTCTATCAGGGCCTGAAATAACATTCCCAAAATTCCCGATCATGGTGATTGATCATGGTGATTGGCAGTCATGTCTTTCCCTGCTTTTCAGGTTGAAAACCCTGCTTTTCCGCTGATCATAAGCAATTTCTTGCTGATTATTGATTGGTAATCAGTTGTTATTTCAAGCCCTGGTCTGTTGAAACATTTAACTGGTTCAAGATGCAATGGACCCATCTCAAGCCAATGAGATCAGCCCGATATTTGGCATCAGCTTTTGTCTACAAAGCCGGAATGTTTGGGGAGGGAAGAGATTATGGGAATTAAGGTGGTGATCTTGAAAGGCTAAGTTTGGTTGATGATGAAGGAAGTTTTTTCTCATGGCCCAGGAAGTTTTTTCTCATGTCAGTGTTGTGTACAAGAGTGAGGTTATTGTTATTGGAGGCGAGAGTTTTGCAAGCTGATATATTTAACTTTAATCTCATGCTCCAGAAAATTTATTAATAAAGTTTCCTACAGTATGTTAGGAATAATATCCTGGTGAATTTGCATCATGACCAAGCCAAGTCATTTAATTTAATTAGTCTTCAACCATAGTGCTTCTTTGCTTATACTGTATAAAAAGTGACCTACTGTATAGACCTTTCACACTTGCACTGTAAACATTTAAACTATCAAGGTCAAATTTATAGGTCATTGGTA